TGATTTTTTCTGGTATATTTTCTTTCTGAAGGATATACTCAGTGTGATAGGGCATGTGATTTCTGGGCTCCAGAGAAATGGTGAGCTGCCACAAACAGATCTGCTGACTTCCAAATCCTCAGTAGCTGGGTCATGTTGTGGAAACAAAATCTCACATGTTTTGTATGCAACAGTCGCTGTGCAGTTGCTCTTTATTTTATTCTTCCTTATTTGCACCTGTGCTTAATAGTGGCATTCCTCACTTCTCTCCATGTATAGAAAACTTCCATAAGCTTCTAATTCTTCTTACTTATGAACCTGAGGCAATCTCCAGAACATTAGCAGGCAATTTAAAAAAGGATTTAGAGAATGCAATGACTAGGAGGGGCAAAAAGGAGAGTGGTATGGCTGTGTCCTCTCTACTGCCAGCTGTGTGCTTATGTCTCCCCAAAGAGACTCTCTCCAGGACCAGGTCAACATCCACAAATCCCTGAAACGGAAAATCAGGAGCCTAAATAATGCTCTCCCTGCTGATGAGGAAAACAATCCAGACGAAGCAAGGCTAAGGAAAAGAAGAACCAAAGGCCTGGTTTATGTGTTTTGAGGAGCTGTGATTGCAGTTTTGGCAGCTAAAAGGTCTTAAAGCTTTAGCCCATTCTTCTTGTTCCCTTTTGACCTGGACAAGGGGCTTAAAAGAAGGTGCCGGATTTCAAGTGTGTGTAGGAGAATCTAAACACAGGCATAAGTTGCCAGTTTGTGAAGAGGAAGAAACTGACTGCTTTGAAGCACTCAGCTGGTTTCCTAGTTAATATTTCCATGCTGCAATAACCAGTTCCATGACTGAACTGCAGAATGTTTTTAACAAACCAAAGTCCTGGCTTTGTGGACACTTACAAGTAGGTGTAGCCAGAAACTCCTTTTCAAAAATTACGGACAAGCTGAATGTAATAATAGAGACAGTTCCACTGGCCCACAGCACGTGCACCAGTGATCTGGAGAAAGACTCCTCCTCTGGAGCATGGATTGTGTGACAGACCATCCAGTATGAAAAACTAAGCATCCTTGCAGAAGCCAATATTTACATTTACAGGAAGGCTTCATACAGGACAGATGGAACACCACTCACTGCACCTACAACTTGCAGAATTCAAATGGAATTTCAATAAGATGAAAAAAAGAAGCCGACAAAGCCCAGAGCCTGTGAGAGCAATTAAATATGCTTCAGCAAAAATTCATCACCTGTGAGAGGTTTGACAATGTACGAGGATTAAATAATGTATATGTTGGAAGCATCAGGCACAATCACTTTTGAATGAACAGGAGCAACAGCTACAGGAGTCAAAACAAAAATCTAGAGTTGCACCCCAGTGAAGAAGCAGATCAAAGTCTTACATGAAACTCTAAAAGAAGGCACATAGAGAACATCCGGCCATGGACTAAACCTGACAACTTCTCCTCACAAAAGGAAAGAGAAGACAACTATGGAAAAGTCTGAATTTTGTAACTCGATCTTTATTTCAGATATCCAAACTTAAACCTCACTTTTCTGTGATTTGTCCATGGAGTTAGTTTGTTGTCTTACTTTTTATTATTTTATTTGCTTTAAAATCACAGCTTTGTGCATTACAATCTCTTGGAAATAATAATGAAAAAATAATACAACACACCTTCCATCCCCCTTTATTTCTTTTGGCACAATATATTTTAAATAACTAAATGACACAAAATCAGCAAAACCATGGCTGAAAGCCAGTCACAGAGATCAAGTCACAAAAGAGAAATGAAGTTTTGAGACTTATCCCAGACAGTGTGAAATGTTATGGAGTTTTTATCTCTTGCAATTAAAACCTTCAGTCTTAAGGATATATCCCAAGTACCCTGATGGATGTGTCCTGTAAGACAAAACCTGAAAGCAGCTCAGGATATCGCGGCTGGTGCCAACAAACAGTTAAACCTTCTGCATGCTAAGTGTGCAGACAGAGAGAATTTAACAGGAACTTTAAAAACAGAGCTACCAGAAA